ACAGAAGGAGAAATTAAGAAGCCTAAGATGGAGTAGCTGGAAAGTTAAGACAAAAATCAAGCTTATACAAACCAAAGGAAGAATTTTATTAAGAAAGAAGTAGTGATTAATGCTGAGAGCACTTGACATTTTAGTAAATTTTCTGATTTCAAAATGAAGCTGGAGAGCTTACCAAACAATATATTTTTATGAGAGTCTTAACAAACTGCTCTGCTTGGAACTGCAGATTTGTCCTGAGTTCCTGTAATCTAAAATACTTTTAATCCTAGCTGATTTGTATGATAAATATGCAACTCATGTTGTTCCAGGCCAGAGCCACCTGGAGGAAGGTATATGGAGATGAATTTTAGAAATGAGCAATATTTCCTTAGCTCTCATTTTTATTTTTTGTTTTGAGACTTGACTATTCAGTCTTTCTTACTTATTTTGGGGAATTATGCTGGGAAACGTACATGTGCTCTCTAACAAGCTCTCAAACATCATTGGTAGTCATAACCTCTAGCCTGTGCACCCCAGTAGCACTGTTCTTGGTAAATACTGCCACTGCAGGCACTGTTAGCTGTGCACGGCATCCCACTCTCCGTGGATCTGGGGTATGGCTGATACCTGGTACCTGACAGTGGTGCAAGGCCATGGCGGAGTATTTTGTTTTCTCAGTATTTTTTTTCCTTAATGGGTACATCCTCAAGGATTGGCTTGAGCTTCAACATCTTAGAAATTTTTTTGAAAAAACAACTTTTTTAGTTTTGTTTTCTTTTCTAATTTGCAGTTCCTGTCTCCCTAAAAGAGATACATCAGGTTGAATCAGGAGACAAATCTGATTAGTAGCAGACACTGTGTACGCACTGTCACATTCAGTATCAACCCCCTTGACCAACTCAGTTGTTTTTTATTGAGTCAAGACTATGAACTTGGGTCTCTCCTCCATTGGGATGAACCCCAAGAAGGTCCTTTGCCCCTCACTCAAATAAACAGCTCTCTGGATTGTCCAAGTCTGTCAGAATGTATATATACAGACATAACTTTTTTTCAGTTAACATAAAGGGTACACATAAATCTCACTCATTAACTATTCTTCTTCAATATGTTTAATGAGTACATAATATTTTACTTTTTGTACAGTAATTAGCTTAACCTGTTACTTATTGTTGGACATGTAATTTTTTCTTTTTTTTTTTTTACTTCTAAATAATGCCTCAATAAATCTCTTTATTAGTATCTCTTACTGCAGGGCAATGATTATTTCCTTAGGCTGTATCTCAGGAAATATACAAAAATGCCCATTTTCTGCACATTCTTGCCGAACTAGAGTATCATTATTATTTATTTTCTTATTTGATCAGTGAAAATATTCTGATAATTGTTTCTTTGCTATCCAGTTAGGTCGAATTTTTATAGTCATTTTATATTTCATTAGTCATTTATATTTCTCCCTCTGCAGGTTTTTTGTGTGTGAAACAATTTCTGTTGGAAATTTCTTCAATTTCTAAGAACTCTGCTGAGTACATGGAGAATAAACAATCCAGAAAATATCTCTCAACTGATGCCCCAAACTTGTTTCCTCTCTTGTTAAAGAAAACAAAAGTATTTCATTTTCACATATATTCTTCATGCCTCCATGCCTGTCCATGCTTGTCCTTCTGCCTGCAATATTCTTCCTTACTTGAGGAAAACTTATCCTCAGACTCTAAGGACAGCTCATGTTTATTCTCTCACAGTATTCTGTGGCCTCTGTTGTCTCACTTATCGTGGAATGCCTGGCTTTAGGGTTGGTGAACTTGTGTCTGTATCTGGAATAGATTGTGAGCTTTTTCATGCAAAGACATCTTATTCCTCCTGTGCCTCCTCCTATCCTTAATTTATTAGCACAGTGTCTTCAACATATCAGGTGTATGGTACATATTAAATTTATATTTACAAATAAGCGATGAAGGGAAATATAAGTGAAGCTCAATTTGTCATTTTATAACTCTCTTAAATGAGCTGAGCCTGTGCTCAATATAGACAAGGAAGATATTTAAACTTTAATTCGTTATAAGATTGCTTATGTATGACCCAGTCAAATAAAATATAAAAAAACACATGTCAGTGTGATTTACATATTTACACTGTTCATTGCCTCTATCTTGGCTAGACATTGGACACATGGAGCAGGGAGCATGCTATTTTGCAGATGGATCTAATATTTCCTCACTGTGGGTCCTGGTGAGGCAGCGATGTTCACTGCTTCAGGAAGAGTTTGAACTCTCTTCAAAGCAGTGGGTGCTGGGAGAAACTAGATGTTGCCATCTGTGTAGCTGATGTCTTCAGTTCATCTAGTGAATGTTCTACAAAACAAGAAAGACCATCATTTTATTATCTTCCTCGCCCCTGTCCTACACACTCGCACACAGACATGGTCAAGCCAGCTGAAATCATTACCTCAGGGGCAGGAGAGGTTTTCCCCCTATTTTATCCTAAGTATTCTTAAGGAAGCCAAGGAGACTGTTCAGTAGTATAATATTTGGATTTTTATGAGATAAACACCTGTTGACTTAAAAGTATATCATCTTCTAACCCACTGGATGATTAGAAGGAGGACCTTCTCTGGGGCCTGAGTTTGGCATATTGAACACTGACTTTCCCTTTTACCTCCCAAATGTTCTGACCCCAGTGTTTTTTTTTTTCTCTGAGTATGCTCATTTTAGATCACATTTTAAAAAGATGTACAACTGAACCAGTGAAATAAGACAGAGCAATGGCTGAGATTCCCTCATCCTTCAGGGATTTTTTTTCCTGGCCAAACAAAATGTCTGAAATTTCGGGATTGTTTCTCCAAACAAATGCTAAGCCTCATTATATTGTTGAAAAGACTACAAATGGTTCTCCTTTGTTAACATTGTTAACAATTTCAAGTAAAGTGTCTCTTGAGTAGTCCAGTTACTTGAAAGGTATTATGGAGGCTGTGTTATAAGTACTCTTTTTCCCTATCTAAGCTTTCTTCTACTTTTACTTCTACTCACCAAATCCCTTCTCTCTTTTTTTCTCTGAAATTTGAAAACTTTTAATGATTTGTTTCTTAACTATGTCAACTATGTAGCAGTGTTGTCAACACGTAAGTCATAAGTGAAACTTTACTGGGGATGAGATCTCCGAGGGAAAATGTGTGTAGAAAGATCTGAGGATACAAGATAATGCTTTGGAGCACAGGACCCTTAAGGGGTGAACAGAAGGAGAAATTAAGAAGCCTAAGATGGAGTAGCTGGAAAGTTAAGACAAAAATCAAGCTTATACAAACCAAAGGAAGAATTTTATTAAGAAAGAAGTAGTGATTAATGCTGAGAGCACTTGACATTTTAGTAAATTTTCTGATTTCAAAATGAAGCTGGAGAGCTTACCAAACAATATATTTTTATGAGAGTCTTAACAAACTGCTCTGCTTGGAACTGCAGATTTGTCCTGAGTTCCTGTAATCTAAAATACTTTTAATCCTAGCTGATTTGTATGATAAATATGCAACTCATGTTGTTCCAGGCCAGAGCCACCTGGAGGAAGGTATATGGAGATGAATTTTAGAAATGAGCAATATTTCCTTAGCTCTCATTTTTATTTTTTGTTTTGAGACTTGACTCTATTCAGTCTTTCTTACTTATTTTGGGGAATTATGCTGGGAAACGTACATGTGCTCTCTAACAAGCTCTCAAACATCATTGGTAGTCATAACCTCTAGCCTGTGCACCCCAGTAGCACTGTTCTTGGGAAATACTGCCACTGCAGGCACTGTTAGCTGTGCACGGCATTCCACTCTCCGTGGATCTGGGGTATGGCTGATACCTGGTACCTGACAGTGGTGCAAGGCCATGGCGGAGTATTTTGTTTTCTCAGTATTTTTTTTCCTTAATGGGTACATCCTCAAGGATTGGCTTGAGCTTCAACATCTTAGAAATTTTTTTGAAAAAACAACTTTTTTAGTTTTGTTTTCTTTTCTAATTTGCAGTTCCTGTCTCCCTAAAAGAGATACATCAGGTTGAATCAGGAGACAAATCTGATTAGTAGCAGACACCTTGTACGCACTGTCACATTCAGTATCAACCCCCTTGACCAACTCAGTTGTTTTTTATTGAGTCAAGACTATGAACTTGGGTCTCTCCTCCATTGGGATGAACCCCAAGAAGGTCCTTTGCCCCTCACTCAAATAAACAGCTCTCTGGATTGTCCAAGTCTGTCAGAATTGGACACATCTTTCTGAATCTTGAGTTGTGCACACCACGCAGGCTCTGCCTGGGACCTTCCACATGTTGACAGTCTTTCTCTCTCCATTAACAGTATCATTGCCACATACATGGTTCAAACCTCCTATCTAAAATAACAGTTTTTCCTGCTACTTCAGATCAGGAGGCATTTTATCAGATAGTTGTCTTTTGAGTAAAACACATTTAAAAAATCTTTGGGAATTGTAGGGGTAAGTGAAAACAGTGTATTTGTGCCAACTGTCCTAGATTCATGTAAATTTGCCTAGCTTGCTCAACAGAGACCTGTTAGTCTCAATTCTTTGCTTTGCGATTCATTTCTATCAGTGTCAGTCCTAAATGCTAGTCTGTTGTCTTCAAAATGCATTTATGTTTGTAGATTATGCATGACATCAAATTCTGGGAAATACCTGATCTGTATATGATCTAATTTTTTTAACAATTTTTATTCTGAGAACTATTTTTCTACTGTATTTAGTTGTTACTCAGATTATAGAATAGGTTTTTCCATATTTGACTTCTTTCCTCCCTTCTTCCTACTATGTATTAGGCTGTTCACTAGAATCTATTTGTCATGATCATTTAAAAAGCCCAGGTTACCTGAGTGTCTGAGTAACTCTAGATTGGAAAGTATTCTGCATCCATAAGAAGCATTATTAATTGCGGAGAGTAGACTAAGAATTTTCAAATTATCCTGACTTACTAAGACTATTGGTATGACACATCAGAACGTGGCTGAGTTATCTCCTTAATTCTGTCATTTCTTTCCAGGTGCCTGAAATATGAAGAGTGGAGAACATGCTCAGGTAGGTACCCAGAGAATTCTTTAGGAATAAGGGGTTGAAGGTGGTGGGAAATGAATAAATAGAAAGACTTTTAAAAATATATGGAAATCAGTATTTTAGTCAGGAAGTTTAAGAAAATGCAGTGTAAAACAGCTTTTAACAAAACCTCTTATTGGGCAAAAGCCCAAAATAGCAGATTTGAGTCTTAAGACTCAACCTGTCCTGATTATGGGTAGTGGGGGAGGGAAGCTGAATATAGGGAAATTTGCATAGAAGATAATGATCATGATTGTCAATGTCACTCTAATCTTTTGCTCTTTTGGGAGAGTGCCCTCACATATAACACAACAAACATTTATATGGATGTTAGGATAGAAAACTTTGAAGCTGACTTGCAAAGGGGCCGTTTAGTTTCAATATTTTCTCTCTGGAAAAGATTTTAATAGATTTTCTTCCAAGATAGGCAAGCACTTGTAGAGGGAAAGTAAAGTGCTGGTATGCAGTTTCAGAAATCTGTTGACTACATGTTCCCATATGTGTTCCAGGAAATTCACACTTGGATTTCAGTACAACTCAGAGTTATGGTAGTGCTATCCAACACTTTTTTGGAAGGGAGTTTGCTCGATACCAACATAAGGCTTGCCAAAACTCAGCAGGCCAAATCCTCGTTCTGGAGCATGTGGGAACCAAGAGATCAGCAGTTAAATGATAAGGGCTGTATCATTTTCAGTTCTCTAAGGAAACAAATTCTACCTAATGGTTTAGAAAGTCATTTTGAATATAACCAATAATTTTTTTAATGAAATGTTTCTTTTGTGGCAATTTATAGGGCATGTAATATTTAATAATGAAACACACTATTACATTTCTGAATACTGGCTAAAATGTTTCAGTTTTTCAGACTTAATTACATCTGGCTGGACATGTGCAATTATGCTTACCTTTAGAAATGAAAACCTACTAGTATTCACTGTGATTATTAAAACTAAGAAATTCAAACATTTTGTACTAATCTGTGTCAAAACTGCAGGGTTTAAAGTGATGAGATTGGCATTGAACTCATTTGTTGAATACAGAGCTTCTCTTCTTTCTAAAAAATGTTTCTATTAACTGGGCAAAAAGTGTGTGCTAATATTACAATAAGTGTAATAAAATAAGAAATTGTAAACCACAGTCAATTGAAGAGCACCCATTTCTCTTCCTGAGAATAAAATACAAGGGCTAGAAGTGATCCTAGAGGTCATGGTCAAGTACTCAGGCTTTAACAAAGGTAAGGCCAAGCGATTCAAGATGAATTGTTATCTTTTCTATTCTTAAAGACCCTGATTGCAGGCCCTTTCTTAACAGTCAGTTTCAATGCCTGTCCACATAATAAAACATTCTGCAATAATCCAAATTATGGCCTATCCTGCTAAGTTTTACAAGCATTTCTGCTAATGTTTTAAAACTCTTTCATCTTGTCATTGTATAGAACAATTGGTTAATATCCTCTTCACAACGGCCTTTCACACTAAGAAAGTTAGGTAAAGTGTCCTCTTCTTCATCTTAAGCTCTCCCAACTTCTTTAACTATGTGTAGTAAGAATTACTTTCTGTCTTTTTAATAGTTTTATCTTGGCCTCTGGAAATTTTTGCTTCTTTCAGAAAGGGGAAAACTAAAATTTGACAAAGCATTTTAATGAAAGTGTGAATAAATGACAAGTACGTTATTTTTCTTATCTTCATATTTATAAAGATTTTTTTTCTTACCTTTATATTTATAAAAAAAAGATTTTGTAAATCTTTATATTTCCATATTAAGCTTGCTTTTTGTACTAACAGCATGTTTGACTTCTCAGCCATTGTGATTGTGTTATCTTTAGTTTTTCTGCCTTTCCGGTGCTCTACTAGACTTCATCCATCTTATGTCTGTTCATTTGGAGCAAGAAAGCTTTAGTAAAACTTTGTGACTTGTCAGTATACCAGTATATCTGTTGTGAAAATTAGATAGTTAATTTAAGCCCTGTGTTCTGCTATTAAGTAAAAATGTAGACTGGACATTTTTATGACTCCTACAACCCATATTATGTAATTAATTTTCTCAGATAACCATTATTATTCCAATTTTAATGTTTAAAAATATTAAGCAAGAGGCTAAGTTGCTTGCCTACAGTATTATGGCTTCTTATTCAGAATCACCTGGATACCTTTGGACCACTATGTTCCCACAAGGCCACAATGCTAATATTCGATTTATTTGTAGAGATTAATCTTTATACTCTAAGTGCTTCATTTTCTGTTCTTGAAAAAATGTACCAACAAATGCAGTGGAAATTTTGGGGAAATAAATACTATATTTTTCTGACATAACAATAATCTTTCAATATTACTGTGCTATCATTAAAAGGTATTTGAATGGCCTATAAATTATTGGGTATAATCAATTGAAATTATTCCAGTTATGACCTATCTTATTGTTCAAAGTTTAGTGTTCTGGAGTTAATATAGATAAGAAGGCTTATAATGATAAATAGAAAGTAATTTCCTGATAATGAAATTTCTGGGATTAGAAGTGATTGATGTATTTTCTGTGTTTTTTTTTTCCCCACCAACTACATTTACTAAATAACCTAGGTGTAACCCTGCCTAGAATCAGGGAGGTGTACTAATCACTTTTGAAATACTTTTTCATCTATGGTTCTGTAACACTAAGCAAGGAAATGGTAATTTTAACAAGATGCTTTTCAAAGTTAAATTTTGTTTCCAGATTGTTACTGCTACATAAAGATAACAAGCAATCATGATTCTGTTGTTGAACTATAATTTATATGAAATCCCTATTACAGTGTCTTTTAGGGGCCTATCTTTAGTGAAGACTATAACACAAGCATTACTTACTAGCATTTCCCAGATATGTTATTTCTTCCCAAATTTTAGAGATTGATTGGCATTGTAAGGAAATTAATATTTCAAGTACTTTCATATGCTTGGATACAAATTGGGATTCAATTCCTGAAGTGTGAAGCCCAATAACAAAGATTGCAACTTTGGTAGATATTTTAAAAGATCAATGGTCTCATAAAAATTTTACTTTCCTTTAAAATGTTTAAAACCCCTCTCTTTTTTGCTAATATCTAAGCATACCGTCCTTTTTTCCATATGCCTCTATTGATTTTTATTCCTTTTAAGTATATTAGTTTATTCATAGGATAAAAGAGAAAAAGAACTTGAGGATATATAATTTAGTTTCTTTTAGACACGTGGTCTGCTTTGTTTTTGGTCCCCGATTAATTGATTAATTCACATAATTCTTATTAAGATGTAGGAAGTGATAATTTAAAGTTGGAGATTTATTGTTCTAATGTTACATGATGCAGAGGTCTATAATGGATATTGAACTTTTTTGTTCATAGTCTTTGGCCTGTTAATTACTTAACCACATTACTTAACGTGCATATGAGTCACTGACATGTTTTCATTGATGAGACACACCGGAGGTAAATCTACAGCTATGACTTTTTACTTTAATGCCAAAGTTTTCTCTGGGACAAAATGGTTCATTTCCCTTAAGCAAAGTTCCATGAACAAATGTATTGAAAATTGCTTGCTGTGGAGAAATCAAGCTAAGTTTGTTAGAAAATTAAAAAATAATATACAGCCAGTTTATATTGAACTCTTAAAATAAATCTTTGCATACCATAAATTCTTGTGTAATACAATCAGATATATCAGTATTATGCTGAAATTTTGAACCTGACCCAGTTGAAATTGGTTCCCCACCAACTCTGCAGAAGGCAACACCGTGTTCCCTGTTTCTTGAGCCAAATCAGACAATGAGCAGCCTCTTTGGCTCCTCGGTTGGTGGAAGACTTTGTAATGTTATCACTTCAGTTTGGGCAAAAATACAGTTTTAAATTATAGCGACTCCTAGATTTCTTCACCTAATTTTATCTACAAATGGAAACAAATGTATGTATCTGCTGAGTAACTGAGACATACTTTAATAAAATATTTTTCATTGTTTCCAAGAATCCAAAAAAAAAAAATTGGTAGTTACCATAATTTTAAGCTCATTGACTGTTTTTTCCAAATAATCCATTTTGGTTTTGTTCCAATCTCATTTTATTCCTGTGAGAATGCTATAGGCTGAAATACAATTTTTCCAGTACTTCATTATGCTAATGTTTCTAGAACGTTCAGAATGATGTGAAGTCAGTTTACAATGGGAAGTTAGCATTAGAAAACACTGCAGTAAGTCTCTATGTAAACAGCTATATTGCTCTGGTATATGGACTCAGAAATATATTTCAAATTAAAATAAAAAAAATTACATAGTGAACATTTATTGATCCACTGACAACCTATGAGATAGACTTTTTTTTTTTTCATCCAGCACAATGACTTTCAAAATCCTCATAGTTAATTGAGGGTTTTGTATTGCTCTTCTCTTATCAATAACCCACTCTGGAGGAAAACATGTGATGTGAACATCCAGCAAAATATAAATGTAGTCTTGATTTTTTTCTTTCCAGACATTCTCTTTGAGCTTAGATTCAACATTTTATTTTATAAATTGCAAATAAATATATTTATTTAGAGGTTCTTTTCTTGTGGAAACCTAGATTAGACTGTGCTTAACAAAATAGGTAAAATTAATGAAGTTAATTCATTGGATATAAAAAAACTACATGAGAGTGTAGGTGGATGATATGTAACTGATTGAAAACTAAATAAAGTAAGGGCTCCAAATGACAAAGTTAAAGTGTAGGAAGAATCTTATCTGATCTCAACATGATACAGAAAGAAATCTATTTGCTGATAGAAAAAACTGATCACATATTAACATCTGGACTTCATGTGTGTATTTGCTCAATAATTAGCAACAGTCCCTGTTTTGCTACATTCCTACATCTGGGAACAAAACATCATAGACACTAAAAATAAAGGCAAAGAGTAAAGTAAAAAATTGTCTGCTGTTAAATAGCATGATTGCTTTACATTGTAAATTAAAGGGATTTTGTCACCCTCTTTGGGTGCCAAAAC